ATGCGGCGCATCATACTAACTGCATTGTATTTCAATTCCAAGTTGAATACATGTTATCTGTAGCATCTCATATGCCATCTTAGAATAGCCGAGTCTATCTTAGTTGCATTTTGCATGTGTTGCATTAGCCATCTTAACATGAACTAGGATCATGCATTGATTACTAACTAGTTCCTGTTTTGGCTCGGAGTACTCGGTAAGTGTTTATGCTTTAGCATCCTTGCATGCGTGTGAGTGACTGCCATGATAGCATGCTTACCATGAGGCTAATATGGAGAACCTCCGTCATGATGAAAGTGATCCGTCATCCGAAGAAATCTGGCTTGCCATGAGGCTATTTGCTTATGTGATATAACTGCCTGAATGCCTGTGAGTGAAGGTTGGATTACTTAAATTGGAACAATTCATTGATTGCAAGTTTTAGGCCCACTTGAGAGTGGCAAATCACCATGTTTTCTAAGCCCACTTGAGGGTGGCAAAATCCGCATTTTAGCCTACTTGCGAGTAGCAAACCGCCTTAAAAAACAAACACGAGATGTTTTGTTCTAACTTAGGCGATCCAGCCTATATTTGTATGCTGTGTGCATCACATAGTAATTCTAGGTTAATAACCGGAATAAGAGCACATGTGTTTTCAAAAACAATATATCATGTTAGTAAAGGCCGATCTCTGATCGGGCGAGCGGGGGTGCTCATTGCATGACCTTCCCCTCTCGTACCCAAGTTCCCAAGCCAAGGCAACTTTGGTTATGACGGACACGTGGCCTTGGGCACGAGTCAGGATTTCCTAAATTTTCCAAAAATAAAAATATTTAGGTTGCGACTCTGTATTTGGCAAAGTAGTCCATATTTGGCACTTCTTTCTAAAAATCAATTTTTTAAAACGATTTGCCGGATGACTCTTTGGTGATTTATCAATCTCGCATTGCACTTTGCAAGATCAGATTAAGAACCGTGACTTTGAGTCCGAACTGTAGTGAGCCCAATGAACAAAACGGGATTTTCCCCGGGATGTTCGGGCGCGTCTACAGTCCATTGAGCATTGTTTTGCATGCTTCTTGTGAGATGCTCTTTCCTAGCTTTCATGCCTTAAGCTTTTAAACTTGCCATGCATGCATTGTTTGCATGGTAGAATATTGTGTATGCCATTCTAGAATTCATAGAAGAGCATGTTGTTTGTATGTTGTTCGATTGCATTGTGTTTGCATGCTATTAGCATTGATAGGTTGATCATGGTGCATTGCATTGTGTTTGCATGCAATTAGCATTGATAGGTTGATTATGTTGCATTGCATTGTGTTTGGATAGAGTATTAATCCAAACACGAGAAACGAGAGTCATTTCATACTTGAAGTGATGAAACGTGCCTCATTTCTCGGTCACCGACCCTCTTGATCATGCATGATAGAGGTTAAGGCGCTTATGTGTTATTTGTGAATTCATTGAAAGTGAATTGTGCAAACTTGGCTTCTCAGCCATCATGCATTGCGATGCTCGGTTGGTGGCCCGAGAGTCAAGAACCACACTCCCTTGAGCTTAAAAATGATAGGGAGGGTGGTTGTGCACACATACCTTGCAAATACACTACCGTGCCCCTTCTTGTTCTCTGTTGCAGCAAAATGGAGCTTGGGCAGAATTTCTGGTCGGCAGACCAGAAAAAGTAGCTGGCCGGCCACTTTTTCTGGTCTACAGCATACTTAGATGGTCTACAGGTGGTCTACACCACCATCAACTGGTCGGCAACCCTCCTGGGGGTCCCCATTTTGGAGAAGAAGCTATCTGGAGCTTTGTGCAGTGTTCTGAGAGCAAATGCAAACAGAGGCAAGTTGGGCATAGCGATGGATTTCCGAGCGAGGAACCAAATGCATGCATTGTTCAACTTTCCAAAGCAGAGCTGAGTAGTGTAGTTTAATGCTTATTTGTCTAGCTTGAATTTGTAACTTAATTAATTTGTTGATTAGTTAAGGTGCTGTAATAACTAGTTATAGCTTCATTCATTTTGTTGTGTAATAACTAGTCTAATTAGCTTTATTAGATTAGTTAGCTAGCTTAGCTTAGATGTAGCTTAGCTTATTTATTCGGACCCTTCGTCGAGAGAGCACATTGTTGTAATAAGTGTGCGTGTGTGTGATGTATGTCTTCCAACCCTTATTTTTTTCTCCCTTTTACTTATCTGCTTTCAGTGATTAGTTTTAGGGCATATTTCAATTAGCATCCTTATGCTTCGCATGCTTGTATTCATTCATCTGTTTTGCATGCACCGGGCGCGGCGTATCATACAAACTGCATTGTATTTCAATTCCAATTTGAATACATGTTATCTAGTTGCATTCACATGACATCTTAGAATAGCCGAGCCTATTTTAGTTGCATTTTGCATGTGTTGCATTAGTCATCTTATATAATTAGGATCATGCATTGATTTCTAACATAACTTTTTTTTTTGGGTGAATAAGACATAAGATAAAAAATAGAGATTACACAAATACAAGGGGCATACCCCAGGACCTAAAAGGAACTATACAAGAAAGAACTAAAAAAGGAAAACTGTGACAAAACCATAACATAGGAAATTTTCCAGCCCAAAATATGTTCATGAGCCGCATACTTTCCGAATGAGGACCATGAACACACCCAAACAAAAGCCCATAACTAAACCAAAACAAAACAACCCACCAAACCGGAAATAAACCAAAAGCAACCACAAAACAAACAACCACGCAAAAGCAAACAGAAGCCATGCACATCCCGCACGGTTAGGCCAAACGGAATGAACACAAGCAAACCATCTAAACTCCAAACATAAGTATCTAAACAAAATGTAAAATTAAAGTAAGAACAAGCTTCCACAAAGGCGCTCCAAGCAGCCATCACACCGAATTCATAAACTCTCAAACACAATCTGCGCAGCAAATTAGTACCGGCACAGCACCAGCCATCAAATGAAATGCAAATTTTCCTTCCCTTACATGCCCAGCAGAATTGGAACATTACAATAAAACCTGAGGTGCCATGAACCATCGAGCCAAAGAAACAGTCACCACAAGATAAGTGACAGCAGTGCTGACCCATGCAACCCAAGACATGCTCATACATTATAGTAAACCCTGTAAGAACAGCCATGAATAAGTACCTCCAGCAGAAAATATACAAACTACTTGTATTTAACACAGAAACACTTCCCACAATATAGTATCTCACTCCACTCGACCCACAATTTAGAGGCTCACACCACTCAAATTGCGCTTCCTTACCCTGCAGATAAAAAGATATAATATATATTATTGTTAGCAAAATTTGTATCCTGAAGCACTCAACCCTCATGTGAAGTGTATATTTTATAATTCCTCTCAACACTCAACCCTCATAATGATTCCACAGTGAACTCTAACTATAACCTGCACAAAACCAAACCGTTAAACTAAACACTCCATATTGCTCACCATCACTCAACCCACATATAATGAACTCGCATCACTCAGCAGCCCTTCCACAGCTGCGAATATGGGGCTTCATAACTGTTGCTGGCAGATTCCATTGGTCAAGAAACCAGCTATCACCTACGGATCTAGGCAAATTCTTAATGGATAACATTCTATTTCTCACCATTTGGATTATAGATTTAATAACCACCTCCTCAGGCTTCAATTCTTTGTTAAAAACACGGTTATTTCTCTCAATCCAGATATGGTAAATAGAACACAAGAAAGCATTACTAAGAATATTGGCCCTCAAAGAATTATCCTTGGCCTCATTCGTAGCATGTGTAACAATATCAGGCCAGCCTAAATCAGGCCACTTTATGTTGCATTTGACTTCAATAGCACTCCAGACTCTATGGGAAAAGGTGCACTTGAAGAAAAGATGGGAACGGCTTTCCCCAGGGGTAAGGCAGAAAGGGCATTGGGAATGAGGGGCTAAACCAAACATAAGTAACCTATCACCAGTATATAATCTGTTATGAAGAGCTACCCAGACTATAAAACTGACTTTAGGGATCTTATGAGGGCCCCACAGGAGTTTATGCCAATCCACTTTACCAAAGCTATTTCTCCAGTGATTCCAAGCTGATTTAATGGAAAACTGACCATCAGTAGTAAGTTTCCAAACAACACGGTCACTCATTAAAGGGTTGGGCTTACTGCAGTCAGGAGTAGATGAGATCAACTCCTGAATCTCCCAAGAATTAGGAACATGCCACTTCCAAGAATGACCCTCAATGATTTGATTAACTTTGGTCTCACTGTTGAGGTAGGAATCATAAATAATTCTATCCCCAAACTTGTTCCATAGAGGCCCAAGCGGGTGCCAATTGTCATACCAAAGAAAGATAGACTCCCCACAACCAACTTTGTGAGTGAGAAGGGGAGACATCCAGTTCCTAAGAGACAGTAATTTCCTCCAAACCCAGGAAGGGTCAGTAGGAATTTTAACTTTCCAAAAACTATTACCCTTGAGTAAATAGGACTTAACCCACTGACACCACATAGAAACCTCACCCCCCGAGAAGAGATACCAAATATGCTTAGCTTTGCAGCTTTATTCCAGATATCAAGAGACTTAAAACCAAGACCCCCTTCATTTTTAGAGCACACACTGAATCCCAAGCAATCTTGGCACTATGAGTTTTGAGATCGCTGCCAGACCAAAGGAAGGCCCTAAGAATACTCTCAATCTCCCTAATAACCTTCTTAAGAAGGATAAACAAGGAAGACCAGTAAACTTGCATAGAAAAAAGAATGGATTGGATAAGCTGGCTTCTACCAGCATAAGATAAAGATCTGTTAGTCCAATACTTCACTCTTTTGGTAATCCTATCAATAAGAGGGACACAATCAGTGGCCTTCAACTTGGTAGTAATAAGGGGGACACCAAGATATTTAACAGGAAGAGTACCCTCTTTAAATTTAGCAGTACCAAGAATTGATGCACGTAACCCCATCTCACAACCAGAAAAGTAGATGTTACTCTTACTGGGATTAGGGGTAAGGCCAGAAAGGTTAGAGGCCTTCCATAATAAGCTTAACAGTAGGCACATCACCTCTGCTAAAGATCATGAGATCATCAGCAAAACAGAGGTTTATAATCTTAGTCTTCTCACACTTCCAATGGAACTTAAACAACGGATGCCCAGATTTTTCAGCCAAGATTTTGGCAAGAATCTCCATGGCTAAAACAAATAAATATGGGGACAAAGGATCACCTTGACGTAAGCCTCTCACCCTTCAAAATAGCCGTGGAGACCCCATTGATACAAATGGAAAAGGTGGGACTAGTGATGCAAGCCTGGATCCAAGAAACCATGACAAGGGGAAAGGCCATGGCCTTAAGAATGTCAATAATGAATCCCCATCTCACACTGTCATAGGCTTTCATGATGTCCACTTTCATGGCACACTTAGGGGTAGGGGACTTTCTATGGTACCCTCTCAGAAGCTCTTGAGATAGGAAAATATTGTCAGATATTCTCCTGCCTTGAACAAAAGCTGATTGAACAGGATCAATGTTCGTCATGTTCATGAGCATCTGTATGATTATGACTTGTTAACTTTGCATGTGTATGTTTGTGACTTGTTTCGCTTAAGCGAGTGTGATTCATGCCTTGTTTTGAAGCCTTGTGAATTGTCTAAGTGTAGAATGCTTGTCTTGTTCCTTCCTTGATGAGAAACTTAGGTCACGCCTTGCCTGAGTTATATTAACCGATGTTATTCCAAGCCTAGGTTACGTTACGCCTAGATCATTCCAAGCCGAGGTCATCCTCAGTCTAGACGTACCTTGGAACCCCTTGTCGACCTCCGTTCTCACCTTGACACATTAGCCGAGATGTTACCTTGCACCCAACTGATCTCGTCCTGGAGTGGTATGACCTAGGCCGAGGTGTGGCGCATCTAGGCAGGACTAGCAAGCAATATCGATTGGTCAACAGATATTTTAGACTTAACCAGTGACTGGATTCTATCATAACCATTATAATGGCCATCAATAGGGGTACCAAATAAGCCAGAGAAAAAATCAATAAAAGCATTTTGGATGTCCTCAGGTTTTGAAGATTTTTGGCCATCCATCATCTCCAAGCTTAAAATTTTACTTCTATTAATGTTACCCTTAATGGTTTTGAAGAAAAGTTGCTATTTCTATCGCCCTGACTAAGCCACTGAACTCTAGACTTTTGTTTTGGCTCGAAGTACTAGGTAATCTTTTACGCCTTAGCATACTGCATGAGATGTGTATGTTGCCATATATAGCATGCTTGCCATGAGGCTAACTGCTTGAATGCATGAATGCATGAATGCCTGAATGCCTGTGGATGAAGGCTTCATTGCTTGAATTGGAACAATTTATCAAAATGTGTGTTTTAAGCCCACTTTGCAGAGTGGCAAAATCATGTTTTCCTAAGCTCACTTCAGGATGGCGAATCCACATCTTAGCCTACTTGCGAGTAGCAACTTCAAACTTTTTTTTTTTCAAACAAACGAACATGAGATGTTTTGTTCCAACTCGAGCGATTTAGTCTATACTTGTATGCTGTGCGCATCACATAGTAATTCTAGATTAATAACCAGAATAAGAACACATGTGTTTTCAAAAACAACATATCATGTTAGTAAAGGCCAATCTTTGATCGGGCGAGCCGGGGTGCTCATTTCAGGACCTTCTTCTCTCGTACCCAAGTTCCCGTGCCGAGGCAACTTTGGTGATGACGGACACGTGGCCTTAGGCACGAGTCAGGGTTTCCTAAATTTCCCAAATATTTAGGTGGCGACTCTGAAATCTGGCAAAGCAGTCTATGTTTGGCGTTTTTTGATTAAAATTGATTTTCCAAAACGATTTGCCGGATGTAGACTCTTTGGTGATTTATCAGTCTTACATTGCACTTTGTGAGATTAGATTCAGAACCGTGACATGAGTCCGAAATGTAGTAGCTAGAACTACAATTCGCGCCCTCGCGCGCGGAGCGGAGTTCGGGCGGTCTATAATTTCTGGCGACTTTGCTGGGGATTTAGAGAACTTAACTCGAACACTATGATATGTTGTTTTGTCTACACTTATGTGTTTCCTTGCATTGCATTTGCATTGGTGCGCTTAAGTCACAGCGTTTGCCATCTGCTATTCCTGAACGGTTTGCCGGAGGCTTGCTTGGAAAAGCGGGCCATAAGGCTGACCGATTGCGGGCTTTGCCACGATGGGAACGCAAACCTTGGTTGTTACCGAGACACCCTTTTTGACCATTCGACCTAGTGCATATCGGAATCCATAGTGACCATTCCAAACTAGGACAGGTTGCTTACCTGATTGTAGGTTGTTTGAAACCGTTGTGTGCGTAGTGAAACCCTAGCTCCTGACAAGATAGGACAGGGAAACCCTACCCCTCCATAGGGGTGTTTTGGCTCTTACTTACTTGATACGTGCTGTCAGAGTGTGTCTCTACAAGTTGTATGTATCAGTTTGCAAGTTTGGGTATCAGGCCTGAGGGCATCGGTATTTTGGGGGAATCAGTTTTACCTGAGGGTATCAGTTTACAAGTAGAATTTTGGGTAGAATTCAGTAAGGAGTGCAGTCATTCAACTATGCTCATGTCCGTTCTAGTGAAATCAGGCTGAGATGCTATCTGTTTTCTCTTTTGCAAGGTAGTCTAGGAACCATAGCATCAGAAGGCTCCAATATCCCCTAGGTGCATTGGACTTGTGTTTATAGACTTTGTCAGGTCAAAGATTCAGTTTCAGGGCAACCAGTGTTACCTTCACCGAAGGCAAGGCAAAGAAAGGCCAGTTAGGGCTCACCGGTTCAACTGATCCGACAATCACCAGCCACATCACCTTTGTTCTAACTCAACAGATTGTGATGGCACAGAGTCAGAAAGAAGTTATGGCCATGACAGCGGCATTAAATCAGGTAATTGCTATGCAAGATGAGACCATTGCTGAAACACAACGCCCATCTGGGGCATCTGCCTCACATCTAGCTTCGGGACCCTAGCCAAACTTTGACCCACTTCCGTCAGTTGAAGATTTGCAAGGTCCAAATCCCCGAGAAAGGTTGACTCAAGCTCAGGTGTTCAGACCCCTAGTGCAGCCTAATGAGAGGCTTTATCCCCTTGATGTTAATGAGCTCAATCCGACTACAGTGAAAATTGCGAACCTTGAGAAGCAATTCAAAAGGGCACAGGGCTTTAACTCCATTCCTGACATTGAGGATGGGTACACCGAGGCTGCCATATGACTCCCAAACAGATTCAAAATGCCACATATTGACCGTTTCGATGGGTCTGGAGATCCTATGGTACACATCCGGCTTTTCTTGGATGTACTGAAACCAATGGGTCTGACTAAGCCGCAGAAACTCTCTCTATATGGGAGAACCCTATCGGGTATAGCAGCCACTTGGTACGCCAAGTTGGAGGATACAATGAAGCAGAACTAGGAAGAATTGGCTGAGGCATTTGTCGATCAGTACTCTTACAATACCCAAGTGGAAATGACCACCTAAGAGCTTGAAGCGACCCATCAGAATCTTACAGAACCTTTTGCAGAATTTGTTGCGAGGTGGAGAGCAAAGGCAACACAGATGACATATCGCCCTTCTGAGAGGGATCAAGTGCAGATAGTGGTGCAAAACCTCGAGCATGATATGTTGCAAAAGTTGATAGTCACTCCACTATTCACTTTCAAAAGTTCGTATGAATTGGTTCAGATTGAGAATGCGTTCAACACAGGGATTATTTCCAAAACAAGTGAACCGATAAGGAGGGTTTTTACAGGGAGTACCAATGCTGGTAGTAGCACTATTCCCAAACCCACTGAAATCAATACAGTCACCACAGCCGACCTTTTTGCCAAACCGAGCCTACAAACAGCCTGCCCAACTTGAGCTCAGGGTAGAACTTTCACCCCCCCTCTATATGAGCCTAACCAGCGCACTAAAGGTCCTAATGGAAAGAGGGTATCTCAAACCCCTTGATCCTCAACCTCTGCCTGACCCACTCCCTACCAAGCATAACCCCTCCAACTATTGTGTATATCATCAGCAGCGCGGTCACGACACCGATCATTGCTACCGCCTTCGTCATGAGGTCCAGAATCTCATTGACAACTGGACAATAGCTCCACCTCAAGGTCCCAATGACCACATATCTCCTGCCTACCTCAACCTCATCCATACACTACCACCTACCTTTGACCCCAGCATATACATCACCCCGGCCCATCTACCCAAGCCTGAGGTGTTTATCTCGGAAAGTATGGACTTATGCATGATGAATGCACTCGAGCCTCAATCATCTCAAACCCGTGAGCACACTACTTCTGAGCTGATAAGAATGATTGAAGACCTTCAGAGAACTATGGCAGATCTAGCCTCTGGGATATTGGCTCCATCATCGCCCACATCACATGCTAGAAGTTTCATGCCAAAAGGCTTTCCAATCTTGGGACACATTGCATTGGAAGAAGGCCAATCCCTTGGCAAAGTGGAGGCAAGTGGTAAGAACAAGGTAGGGGCAAACATTAGTCCCCATGAACACCTTCAGTGGGCTGTTGAGGCTTTGAAAGCTGAAGGGCTGAACAAACAACAAGTGATTGCAGTTGTTGCAAAGGTTGTGGACGACACTTTTGCCACTCAGAATGAGAGCAGTTTGAATCAAGGGGCAAGCCGGGAGAAGGGTGGTCATTCCAGGAATGTTCCTTTCAGCTCTAATCCCATGCTCAGAAGAGATCAACAAACCCAGTCAGCGCCTACTAATCCCTTTGCTGGTGCATCTAGCAAAACTCCACAAACCTCGAAGTACCCACCCCGAGGCCAAAGGGTCTTCAATCCCCTTTACATGACTTTGTCCAAAGCTTTCCAAATCCTTATAGGACAAGGCCATCTCAAGCCCCTGAAGCCACGACCATTACCAAATAAGCTTCCTCTCTTCCACAACCCGGCTAAGTACTATGCCTTCCATCAACAAGCCGGCCATGACACCGACATGTGTTTTTGTCTTTGCATAAAATACAAGATCTGATTGACAACAAGATCATTGTCACGCCAGGTCCTGCAGAGTCTATCGGTACTTGATCCATGAACTTGTGGGGGATAATGTGATGTGATCGGGGGATGAACCACCGACGGATGGCGTTCAGTTTACTCCAAATATGGGGATGGCATGCACTGTTTTGAGCAATGTGCAAATGCTAATTATTTTACGTTCTGACTTGGGTATTGGGTCACTCTTGTTGTGATGTATTGAGTTAGTATTTTTGTACTGAGTCAATCGCGTCTGCCTTATTGTATCGAGTCAGTCATGTTGTGTCAGTGTCAGGTGATTTTGGGGGTGTTACCTCGTATATCACTAGCTTGTTTTGTGTTTGTCTTTTGCACTCTTTTGAGTCTGTTTCTGTCATGAGGCCAGTTGCACCAGAAAATTTGAATGAAACAACAGTGATTTTCACACTCTTGAGTTTGTTTCTGCCTTAAGCCAGTTATGCTTGAAGATCTAAATGAAACGACAGTGCTTTTCACCTACTTTTCTGTGC